ATGGGGCACAGGGGGGGGAAGGCGAGGCGAAGCCCGTCCCGCCCTGTCCCATCTCCGGGCACGGCGGCTGCCTGCTGAGGCAGGGCCAGCTCTTGGCACTGCCTCGAGACTTTGGAGTCACCTTCCCAGAGGTGTTCTAGTCACTCCCACTCCTCTTCACAAACTTAAGCGGGCTTTTCCAGGGTTGATATCGTGATAATTTCTTACAGCACGTCTTCAAGTACCACCAAACCGTAAGAAGCAGGGCAATGGGTAATCATAGTCATCATAAAGGATGCCTGTTGCCTAGTTTGCTGTTTGGCATTAAAACCTGTGATGATAATGGCAAAGATAGTGTAGTGCGTTGAGCGAATGTTGAGGCCAGAAACTCATTTGATTGATTTTTTTTTTTTTTTTTTTTTAAAACTGCTGCAATGATTCCAGTCTCCTCAAGAAAGCTGTGCAGCGTGCAGGCTTCTGGAGGCCGTGGCCAGGTCCTCCTGGAGGCAGTGCTGGGGCCTGTGCTCTCGCTCAGGCTGTGGTCGCTCGCCGTGGGGTGTGCCCCCTGGGCACCTTCGAATAACTGTTTTGCAGCGATCTTTGCAGTCTGGAAACTGATTCACAGTTTTGTTCACTGGGTTCTCATACTGTGCTAGTGTGAAAGATGTTTTCACTTTAAAGCAGGATGAACAGCTGTAGGGTTGGGCTCAGAAATACCAATTATGAAACCTTAAAAAGAATTCACACTTTATTTGTGGTGAGAAACAGTTCTTACCCTGTGAGAGAATAGCCTGATGGCATCTGCTCTTTCAGTCTTTAGTGGAGAAAAATACTCACTGAAGTCTGCAGGAGTTCTGTTTGTGTGAACTGCAAAACGGCCTTCAGGATTGATCAGAAAGGGTGTTGCTTTCCATAATGGAAAGCTACTGGTGCTATTTGTTTGCGTATTCTGAAGACAGCTGTCTGATCTATGCCCAGGAATATTTAATTTTCAGCTGAAAGAAAGTGCATATAAAACTGCTTCTTCAGTTCTTGGTAACAAGCTTGGGAGTCGTAAGTACGAAGTCAGAAGAGCATAGAAAACAAATTTTTGAGAGCATGTCTTTGCCTAAGTAATGTTAAAGGAAACATCACTTAAAGCACCTAATAAAGGTACCCATTTGGAAGACGTTGGCCTTGGGATAACGTTCCATCTAGAAAGGAATGTCTCATTATGGAAAGATTATGGTTGTTGATTCTATGTCCAGGAAAATAAACTCATTCATTGGGCTTTAAAAGTACATCCGAGTACATCCGAGTGATACATCCGAGTGATTTTTTTAGTTGGGCTAGAAGCTCTACAATAAATTCACTCTTAACCTATAAATACATGTTTTCATATTTACAACTTCCTCTATCTCTTCAAGGATAAGGATTGAATTATGTTGACAATTGTATAACATCTAATTTAGGTGTTAGCAAATGTGAGTATTTGCAAGCCGGTGATGTAAAAATATTAGCAAGCGTGTGGTGTTAAAACAGTTAACTTGAAGCTGTTGCCCTTATTCACGTTTTCAGGAAAAGATAACTTGCTGTTAAATTGTATACTTACCGGAAAGTCTTTCACTTCAGCATTTACTAAAAACATTTGTAATTTTTTCTGTATGTGGTAAAATTCCTATGCATCAGTTGCTGTTCTGCATCGGTGTTCTTTGTTCTCTGGCAGCCTCCTCTGTGCAGTTTCCTACATTGCTGAAGTCTTTTGTTAACTCAGAAGAGCCTTTGAGATGTAAATACCTACAGCATTTAGGGCTCTTAAGGAATTCACACTAAGAAATCTGTGGTAATTTTACCATTTACCTTTTTGGGGACAGGGGCCAGGTTTCCCTTGTAAGGACCTAAGACTGATATGTTCTTGGGTTTTTTTTGTTTGTTTGTTTTGGTTTTTTGATTTTAATCGTTTCTTCTTTTAAAACAAATGACAGCATTTACTTAGCAAGGAGAACTCTTAAACCTACTAACCTTAAAACTCCCCTCCTTTCACAGAACATGGTTAACACCTGTAAAATAATGCAGTTAAAACTTTTGTGTATGGCCTTTCAATGCCCTCTGAATGGCTCTATCTGTTCTTAGTGGAAAAGAGCAAAATGGAGTCTGCCCTTGACTGGAATGGCGTCTGACGCTGATCCCTGAGCGTCCGCTCTTGTGTTCTGTTTTGGCTCGAATGGCTGCATGGTAGTCTCGCCCTTTGTGCCGAATCCTGTCAAAAGCTAGCAGCCACCTAAGGAAGTGACCCATGCTTGCCTTTTCTATTGTACTCTGGTCAAACAACTGGTCGCTGCTAGTATACTGCAGTTTTTGCTGAGTGAAGCTGGGCAACTTGCTGCAGCAGGGTTTGATGCTCTATGCAGTTTTGTTGCTGGGAAGGGCTGACTTTGAAAGCTGAGGGAGTGCTTGTCATGAAGTAGGGTAAAGTCCAAAATGGCTAAGAGAAGTTGGGATGCCTGGTGGGAAGATACATCGTCTTGCGTTATAGATTTTCCTTGGGCCCATTCTTGTGGAAATAAATTACACAGTTGCAGCAGAACAAAAGACTGTTTCATTTAATGCTATATATGGAGCAGTGTTTTTGTGTCCTCTGAGCATCTGTAACACTATACCCACTCAGATGTTTCTGTCACAATTCCCTACAGCAACTTCTATTCCCAGCTGAGAAGCTTTTCCTAAAGAGAAGGGCCTGTATTTCCTAAATCTGAGCTTTCCTAATCAAGATTTAAAAAAAAAAAAAAAAAAAAAAAAAAGGCAGTTTGCAATACAGATATACCCTGACTTATGTAGTGCGTAGATTCTTGATCTGATTGGGTACTGGAGGTGGTCTGGCTGTCACAGCATAAGAGTTCTCCATGAAACTAATTTGTTTTGCTGAGAGAAATGCAGATCTGAGTGGAAACATCTGTACTTGGCAATATGCTGAGTGACACATGTGGCACAGGAGTAGATGGAGGTGAAAACTCAGTACGTGTTTCCAGGGATATTGCCCGCACTCCAAGCAGCCCTTGCTCACAGACCTATTTTTACAGAGTGTTGGTTGCTCTCAGCTTTCACTGAAGTCAGTTCCTTATAGCTCTGAAGTTGCTCACTCTGTTAGAGACTTCTTGTGTGCAGCATACAATTGCAGGTTTCATTAGTACAAGTGTATGGTGGTTTTTTTATATATTTATTTTTTTTCTTGTAAGATAATTGGTATGCAGTATCCCTTACAAATGCAGTAAACTAGTCAGACAAGTAAGCATTGCTAATGAGAAGTAGGATAAATTGTCCTGTGCAGAGAGCTGTACTTTTTGTGGTACCTGAATTAGTAGGTGGCAGTGTGCAGCGCAGACCTATTTTTAGTAATAGGCTGTATTGATAAATGGTCAGCAATCTTAGAAACACGTCATGCTTGCGAGAGTTTGACTTTCTTCCAGCACCAGGTACCTTTTCCTATTCAGCTCGGTTACTGTTAGGTAATTGCAGGCATCCTGCTAAGTGAGAGATTTGGGTGTT